TTTAGATTTATTAACAAAGAAGAAACAAAGAAGACTTTATCAATTTTTTCAATCATAGAACTCAAGGCATCTAAGAAAGAGATTGTTAAGAAGAAGGCCTTTCTACTTGTGGGCAGCGAGACAATTTCAATCGAAAAGGAAAATTATGTCACCATTAAGGTTCCTCTTGAGGTACGTACTCTCATAGTGCATAATATTACTAACACTGATTATTATATGTTAGTGAAGATGGATATTACACGTGATATTCAAGAAGATATTGTAGATGATGTTATATCGATTGATGTTATTTCGATGGAGGAGAAAGTTAGAAGAGAGAGCAAGACGGTTGATGATATGTGTAACTTGGTTAGCGGAGGATTCATAGAAAAGGAGATGAAAGAATTATGGATGGAACATGATGAAAATTCTTCTTTGAAAGCAATGATTGTCAATTTCAACAATGTGGGCACTAAAATATGGGAAGAAAAAGGGAACATATTTACAGTAGTTCTTTAAATCAATCACAGATCCACATGCCCCCAATTACATACATATGGTGTGGGAAATATTCATACAAAAGTTTAATACAGAAGAATTCCTAGCCAAGGAGGTAAAAGAACATATGGAAAAAAAATAAATGTTAAGTATAACATGAATGTTGATCAACGCAGGAGAAGAAAAATATTTATAGAGGAAACTACTATTTGAGCAAATATAAGATTGGATCAGACTCCTTTCAACAAGGGGAGCTAGACTAATGCAAATACGGATGAAATATGACTTGCTCATAAAAAAACAACCATATTTCCTAATCTGAAAGGTAGATTCTAACATACTATATATGAAAATCATCTATAGGGATGTGCAATCGGTCAGTCGGTTTAGTTTTTTGCCAAACTTGACCAAACCGAACTGAACTACCTATCATTCAAAACCAAACCGAACCGATTCAAGTCGGTTCAGTTCGGTTCGGTTCCGATCGGTTTGCTCGGTTTTACTTGGGTACAAATATTATGTCTAAATTCAATTTCACCTCTAATTTGTTGACGAAAAAAGAAGTCTCTCACCCTTCAATTTATTAAAATTCATGAAATATCAAATGCTACTGAATATTAGATGTAGAAATTAAAATCTTATTCCTGCCAAAGCTTACATAAGTTTTTTTTTAAGGAAAGCTTACATTAAGAATTAAAGTGATCTCAATCTGATAGACAAAGTAAATAAAAATATGTAATAATTTAGATGTTGGGTATAGTTTATATAAAATTATAAGTATGATCTAAAGAGAAGTCGGATCCAAAGATTCCATTGCATTATGTGTATCAATCGAGAAGAAAAATCAAGAAAATGTTAGAATCAACATTATGGTTTCGTTTCTTACCTCCAATGTGGATTGGTCCAAAGTAGAAGAAGCGAATAGATAATAGAGAGAGGTAGAGAACTAGAGATGATGAAAAGCCCTAGTATTAGAGAGGACACCATTTGTTGGGGTATTTCATCACTGCCAGGTCGCTTGAGAGAAAAAAATATCAAGCTGCAGCGAAGCAACTCTATATGAACTATAATGGATCGGGTTAAAGCGGATGCGGATAGTAATTAGAATGGGTAATACAATTAGGTCGGTTTGGGCAGTTCGGTTGAAAAAACTTCAACCCGATCCGAATCGAACTCTAGTAAAAATCGAACCAAACTGTCAAATTTCGGTCAGTTTGATTAGTTTGTTCTGTTTGAGCTGAACTATGCTCACCCCTAATCATCTATCTCAACGAGATGACGCCATTTGGATTGATAGATTCCTAAAATTACATCAGTATCACCAGTTTTTGGTAGAATCTGACAACCCTTATTTATTTTTAGTAATAAGGTTGAAGTCAATTTGGATTAGACATAAATTTAATTTTGATTTATATTTAATTTTGATTTATGTTAGATTGACTTATTTCCTCTATTATAGGAAGTCTTTTTAAGGTAGGATTTAATTTTTTTTATTTCTTTATAGTTCTAGTCCTATTAGGAGTCTATTTTATTTTCTATTTAAGAAGAAACATGCAACTCTAAAATTATCAGAATTAATACTCTTCCAATATTTTCTTCATGGATTCAAAATTTTTCGTAGATTCGGAGATTGTTCTTTGTGGATTCAAAAAGCACCCCTTAATAGATTTCGATGTTTATCACTTTCTTTCGCGTTGCGTTAGTAAATAAAGCCTTTTGCTACACAAGTCAAACATATTGGAAAATTCATTGATGCAGTATCTTATAAGTTGCTTCTTGAAATGGTTATGAGAGATTCTATGCTATTATGTGTTCCGCTAGAAAAAAAAAGAATTCAATAAGGCTAAGGACTATTCGGAGTTTATAACAAGTTGTTTATAAAAGTTAGCTTATAAAAAAGCAACTTACATAAGCTGCTGAAAATAGTTTGTTTGATATCATATAAAAACGGTTCCCAAAAGTAGTTTAGGTGTTTGGGAAAACTATGCTTAAAAATCATTGTCAAAAGATGAAGGTCACAATAAATAAACTATTAAAAAAACTGCTTTTAAAAGCATCCTAAAGTTGATTCTGAAAGCACCCTCCTAAAGCAAAAATAATTTCATTAAGCATGCAAAATAATTTTTACCAAACACCATTGTAAATCGCCTCTTAGGCTTGCAATTTTGATCGCATATCAGAATTCTCTGCACTAAACTAATGGTTTTGGATCCCACCACAGATACAAGATCAAATATTTAACTTCCAAAGGTTGGCTAGAAGAAGGGAGTCTTTAAAATAGTTCATTCTTGAAAGCTAAGCTCTATCATCTTTTACCATAAACAATGTTTTTGGCCCTTTTCTCAACACTTTCATAAATACCAGCCTCTAAAATCTTTCTCAATGTGGCTAGACGCCTACTCAACTTCTAAGCACTTCGGAAAATACTTTACTAGGTGTTTCTCATCCCTTACGCTACCGATTCATTATTTCAGCTCTCTCCTCCTTGCATTGGTTTAGCTTGAATTAGGGGTATAAAACCTAAATATCCACTTTTCCCCGCTAAATTTGATTTAGGGGATGAAACTTGCTCCCCCATTTTTCATTTGTTCATCAAATAAGACCAGAGTTTGCAAAAGTTAAAAGCTTGTCTGCCTTCAAAACAGCTTGAAGTAGCATGTAACTGACAAACATCAACAATGGCCGTATAATTCTATGACGCGGGTTGACATTGTCCTATCCCAAATTTGGGAACGATGAAGGCAACTTAGAATACTGCAGTGATGGTTTCGCAAGCACGTGCCGCTACATACAAGAAACTAACAACCAGGATGCCTGCAAGACATCAATATATGAAAGTTCATTACAAGAAATATGGACAATTAAACTCAGTTTACATTTACAAGCCTCACGTTTATATAATGAGAATGTTTATCACACGTTTATACAAGAAACCGTTATTATTGACCCAGTGTCTGCTGAGATCTGCTCTACAGTACCCAAGGAATATCTCTTGCATCAACCTCTAGATCTTGCTGGCAAACACCTTCTAGATTCAAAAGCATACAAATTGGTAAGATTTTCACCGTCTGAGAAAAGCACTGGGCTGGCAAATAAAGTTATAGCTTGTGAGTGGCAGATACAAGTTAGTAAATGATGGTTTATTGCAAGGATTCATACAGAGCAAAAGCACAGACGAAATTCCACATCATCGGGTCTGCTATCAAGCTAGCTTAAGGACTCAGCAAAAGGGACTCAGCAAAAGGTGAGTGAGATTTATCACTGGCCTCCTGTTCATATAACCACCAGTTATGTCATGCTATTGACCTCATAGTGCACCGCTGTTCTTATACTTAAAAACTTCTTAAGACCACAAGAGAACACCATAGAAGTTCAAAGGGAAAATAGCACATGATGACGCACACAAGCAAAAGGGGAAGAACATCCTTGATCCTTGACAACCCTCCAGCGTCTTTCAACATGATAATTTCCCATACAATACAGTTTTGACATGCTCCATACTACCATAGAGTTCAAGGCAGATTCAAGGTCGGACTTGACTTTGGATAACTGATTATTTTATACATGAAATAACTGGATCCAATATGTCTAAGAACTAACTGAAATTACAATACCTGGCAGCAGGATAATGTTTAGCTCTGTGCACACTCGAAAGGTTGTAAAGTTCCTTCAGCAAACTCAACCTCATGCATCCTAAGTGGCTCCAAGATTTCAAGAGGCCTGCATATGACAAGTAAATACATTGAGGCAAAATTTTGGGATAATGGCTTTGCTGTTGTAGAGGTACTACATCTTTGAAACACAACTGTCAAAAAAACATATGAATTGCAAGGAATCAATAAAAACATGAACTTACAATATTGCGTCACGATTACGACGCAATTTTCGTTGATTGCTTTCAACTACACTCACTACATCTGCAGTCTCTGGACCTGCTGTACCCCCTGCAACCATTGATGGAACTTCCGCATGAGGGGTCCATATCTGCACACAATTAACACTAGAATTTAAATTTTGAAACTTGCACAAGTAATTGCAATTGCACTTCTCGGATAACTAGTTTCTCATACAAACCTTGATTGTGTTGTCAATTCCACTTGTTGCAACAGCACAATCAAATGGATGGCACTGTACACAGTTCACAACTGGATGATACACAAAATGTCATTAGCAATGTGCGGCAACGACTTTATGCATCAAACACATAAAAGAAAGGTTCACTACCAGCGTCATCTCCAGCTAACATTTTTATTAATCTTCCTGTCTTTTTCTCCCAAATAAACCATCTTCCATCATCACTTCCACTGGCCACAAACTGTCCTGTTAAAAGAGGCATGACCATGAGATGAAACTATCATCAGATCCGCATTTATGAGGTAATTAAAACAAGTAGATATTTGACGAGTATACTATAATTGATGGACGATATTAATATAGAAGGCTCAACTGAAGGGAAGTTTCGAAATCAAACCTGTGGAAATGCACATTTCACTTTCAACTAATCAACTGATGCTGATTTTATATGCAGATCACCTTACTTTTAACTAACATAACCGCTAGTTAAATTCTCTCAAACGCTAATACATCTTTACCAGACAAATTATCTAAAGCAAATTAGAAATCAAGACTATATTATATAATAGTTATTATACTGTTACGATAATTGCTTCCATCCAATGAGAAACTCAACTCGCATGTAGTGTACCTTGCTGGCCAAGAAAGCTAGCCTGCTTTATATCTGTTCCCACATTGCAGTGACCAACATATCTTTGCTTCAAATCAATGGCAACTTCAGTCTGCACATATACATGACAAAAGGAAATTTCACATGGAGCTGAATAATTTTTACTGTGGGAAATAAATGTAACAAAAAGGAAGTACTGAAAATGGAAACTACATAATGTACTGAGATTTAATTCAATATCAAAACTTCCATTGAAAACTAGGATTATATCACTTAGAATTGAGAGAAGAAAGTCTAGTTTTAGCCGAACACATTGAAACATAAAATATTAGAAATCTATGGACAAATATTTCCATTCTCAACCATATTATAGAATATAATGAGACACATAAAATGAAAACATTCAAATCGTTAGCTAAATTCATTAAAAATTTTAAATTTAAGTTACCAATCTTCGCAAAAAAATATTCCTAATATTAACTGCTACAGTAGAAAGATGGTCGAAATATGAACCACATAAATGACGGTGAGTTCACAGAAATAGTTCTCACAAGAACCACCACTAAGCTAACAGTTTAAACTGCATGCAGCATCATTAGGATTCTTTGACAACATTTGCAAGCAAATCAACAAATAAAAGGAAAGAAGGAAGAACAAAACAAATATGTTTGGAAATCTACTTCATCTCCAAATTAAGAAGAATTCAAGGACAAATAAGAACAATGTGCAATAATATTTAAAACCGAACACACATCATTACTAATATTCCAGTTTCTGAAAACGCTAAAAGTTAAAACATGAAACCTGAGAAGTAGAATTTTCATGAGATAGCGATGGAGGCGAACCCTGTGAACCATTTGTCTTACAATTTTCTTTACTTGGATCATCGCTTCGGTGAAATCGCAAATTTAAGCTTCTACGAAGAATAGGAGATTCAGTATCATGGTCCTCATCTCCAGAAACTGATGCTTCAAGATCAAATTCCATTTCCCCATCATAATCAGAATCTTCTCTGTCAAATGGACGTTCTTGAGATTCAAGGATCTTATCCTCCCTTGCCTTCTTGTTCCCCCATTATCCTTATGCTTTTCAGCTTCAGCTGCATTAGAACGACATTAGGGGAACCTATCAAAAAATGACCAAACCAATAGACAAAAATAAATAAATAAATAAATAAATGTGTGCGATGAATTTACAAATGAGTACAAATGGAAGACATTCATCATAATGTGTTATAATAGCAGAAGTGTTAAATTAAAAACAGTGAGAAACAACACAATTTCATAACCTATAGTCACCTGTTCAGCTGTTCATATATCATGTACCTTAAATACAAAGAAATATTACCTTTACTCGTGTTGCAATCAACTTGGTGATCATCATATGTTTTAGTCCAAATAACTTACTAAAATTCAAAAATATGCTCATGAAATGATTTTCAAACAAAATTATGAGCTCATAATGCACTCGGGCTGTTTGTTTACCTGAAAGTGAAAACGTAAGTGTGAAAGTGACTCACATTCGTCACTTTAGGTCCTTGCTTCCTTGAAAGAGGATGTGGAGGTAAAACGCTAAAAATCTGCCACATTTGATTTAATGCACATTCAACTTCCCCTATGTGGGGATATCAAATGGAAGTGGAAAAGTGGAGACCATTTTTAACTAAAAACTATCTAGTTCTTTATTATCTCTCTCCTCTTTTCCTTCAATTTGGTGGGTAACAGAACGCCTCACTGTTTCCAGCTTCGGACAAAACTAGGATGTCCCATCTTCTTACCATTTTCATTTATGCATTAATCTTATTTAATTGCTTTTATCAGTCACTCGTGCACAATTAATCTTAATCAATTGTTATTGTTACCTTCATATTTCCCTCTTCATCTCCTCCCTGACAAATGTCCAGCAAAGTTGAGGTAAAAAATAATGCATTCTTTATGTCTGAAATTCTATGAATAACAACAAGCTTGTTATAATGTTGCACTCTATATAAATCAATGGATTCAATGCAAATATCTATAACTATTATATTATTAAAAATAATTATGAACTAATTACGTAATAAATTAAATTTTAAAAAATAGAATGAGTTATGGATGATAATATCACAAGTAAAGTTCTGTTCAAAAGAATTTTTTTTAAATGGAATACTTTTACCTGTTATATAATATTTATTTTTTAAAAAAGTTAAATGAAAAATAATATGATATTGCCCCCATCATACTTACGACTTTCAACAAGATAATGTGAAACCCAAAAGAGATTATTAGCTCTCTCAACACTAATAGTGTTGTGGGAAATAAAGGAGTTTGTCCCTAACTAATGTGGGACTAAATAATAAGGAATAGACAACTCTCTCAACACTCGCCCTCAAGCTGAGCATACATATCGTACATGCACAGTTTGTTACAAATAAAATTCACTCGTGTTCTCCCACGAGGTTTTAGGTTTTGTGAGAATGTCCGCAAGTTGATGTATTGATGGTATGTGTTTGGCTCTAATGATTCCCTTCTCCATCTTCTCACGAAGGAGTCAAGTGACAATCAATCTCTATGTGTTGTGTCCTCTCATGAAATACTGGATTCTCAGCTATGTGAATGACGACATTATTATCTCCATACAAGCTCATGAGACACTCCGGAAGATAACCAATCTCTGTTAATATATTTCAAACTCATATCAACTCGCAAGTCAAATTTGCTATGGCACGATACTCAGACTCAACTATAGATCGAGAAACTACTTTGCTCTATAATATTAGATTTCCTCGAAGAAACACATAATACCTAGTAATTTACAGTCTGATCTCATCTTCTACCCAATCTGCATCTGAAAATCTTGCAACTCTCATGTGACCATTAACTGAATAGAGTATTCCATTTCCTGGAGTTCTCTTAAGATACCTAAGAATCCTCTTCACAGCTTTTACATGAGGTTTTTTGGGTACCAAGAGAAACTAACTACACTAACGAAAAATGCAATATTTGATCTTGTGAATGTTAAATAGGTATCATTCAGTATCCTCCAGCAACTCCCTGTAAGTTGGTAGTAGTTTGAACTTGGCATCCATAGGTGAGTTAATGCCCTTGCATTCTGACATTCCAGCATTTAGCAACATATCAAACACATTTTCTCTGAGATAATTCTCTTCTTCAATATAGCAACCTTGATACCCAGAAAACATTTCAAGGATCCACATTCCTTGGTTTGAAATTGTTGTTGTAGATACTTCTTCAAATGATTAATGCATATGCATTGTCGCCGGTGATCACAATGTCGTCCACATATACAACTAAAAAAATCCACTTCCCACTAAGAAATCTCTAGAAAACCAAGTGATCCTTTTGAACTCGATGAAGACCAAAGGTCTAGACATTTGCTGCAAAACGTCCAAATCAAGACCCCGAAGATTACTTCAAGTTGTAGAAAAAATAATTCAACCTGCAAACTTCGCTACACCCAGCAATGAAATATGGAGGTTGCTTCATATAAACCTCCTTCTCAAGAATGTCTTTAAAGAATACATTCTTAACATCCAACAAGTGTTGTTAATGCGTGAGGCGTAGTGCGGGACGCAAAGTAACTTTACGAGCACATGTGCAAGGCGCAACACAATGTGCGCGCACGAGTGATGTGAGGCGCACAGTGCACACATAATTTTTAAGATAGTCAAGCACGAATGAACATGTTTAGGAATTCACATAAAAAATATGTCATCATATACGATATCTTGCTACCAAATCACAATACAAGGTCTTAATTTTTAATGCTAACACATGCAAAGTTCACAATTTATCAAATCAAATGTCAAATCAAGACTAATATCCAAAAAAAATCAAATAGCAAACAAGGATTAGTTAGGGTCCTCAATTGAACGTTACTAAAAAGGTCTAATGGATTTATTTTGTTTTTTGGGATATAGGTTATCAAGTATAAAGACTCGATTGAAACGTTAAAAAAATAAATGATGCTATATGTTAAATGAACCCTGCGTGAAGTCAGGATGCTTGCAAGGCGCAGAAGGCGCTGCTACATCAGATGCGGGGCGCTTCACAATTGCCCCTCATTACAAGGCATATGAGGCGCAATGAGGCTCGCTCTTTTGAAAACACTGCGCCTAACTGATATCGTGGCAAGTGATGGCGAGCGGCAAGCGAAATAAGAATGCGAACAAATGTCATGTTAGCTACAAGAGAGAAGATATCAATATAATCAAAGCCATAGATCTACAAATATCCCCTCACAACTAGTCGAGCTAGAGAGCCATCTCGATTTACTTTGACAGTATAAACTCATTTGCAGCCAGTTGCTCTCTTCCCTAGTAGTAGTGAAACAATATCCTAATTATCATTTCAGTCTACGACTATCATCTCTTCTTGCATTGCCGCCGTCCAATCTGACCTAGATAGAGCTTGTGACAAATTCTTGGCAACCAGGTAAGAATCCAAAGAAGATTCGAAAGAATAGTTGGATATAACAGAGTAAGAGAATGTGTAAGAGGATACGAAGATCAAAATATCTTACCCTTTCGGAAGGCAATGAAAAGACCATCAGTAGGCTAAGCACTTGGCGGAACAGTCATAGTTTGACTTGCTAGTACATTAAGCTCTTGGGTGGATTTGGACGATGACTCAGGTTACGTAGTAGTACATCTTGTATAAACCTAAATTGATTCCACAAACGTAGATGGTAGATCAATTTGTACAGCAATCTTCTAAGGATCATTGACATTGGTTTCCCGAATAATATAGTCATAATTATACTAAGGGTCTAAGAATTTATCAAAGACATGTCATGATTTGTTCTCAAAGAAGGTAACATCGACTAAAGCAATATACTGGTTCAAGGAGTGGCAATAAAATATGTAACCTTTTGAGTCCTAGAATATCCAAGAAAAATACACCTAAGAGATTTCAAATCTAATTTCAACCATTGATAACTATGAATGTGAATAAAGCATAAAGACCCAAAAATCTATAAGTAAATGAAAAGCGTCTTCAGCTGGATATAAAAAAACAAAATTATGTATTGTAAGACAGATGAGGATAGTCTATTGATCAGATAGCATGCTATCAAAATAGCATTCCCCCAAAATCATTTTGAAACTTGACAATGAAATAGTGTTGTAAAAAGCAGCAAATAGCGGCGCTATCGCGGTGCTTTTTACGGTTGTGGGGCTTCACTGTGCCGATATAGGGGATAGCAGGGTGTTTTGGTGGAAAAAAACCACCTTTTGCTCGAAATGCGGTCAAAAGCGCGAAATCGTAGGTTTTAGCGCTAAAAATTGCTTAAAAACGCTAAACCTATCTGTTAAAACTTAAAACCCCCCGAACTCGACCCGAACCCGACCCGAACCCATATCTTAAAACTCATCTTCCTCTCTCTGACTCCCGAATGCTCTAGCCGCCTCCGGTCCTCTCCCTCTTGTGCCTATCTCTTTCACGTCCTCCGACGACGACTATCAGCGCAGCCGTCGGCAACATCTCCCGTCGACAACAACAGAAGGTCCATCTCCCTCCGGTCATCTCCGGTCAAGCCCATCTCTCTCTCAAGTCTCACAGTCTCACCTTTCTCCCTCTCAATTCCTCCGACGACAGCAGAAGGTCCAAACCTTCCCTTCGACGACTAACAGCAGCTCCCTCCGGCGACCAGCAGCAACATCTCACTGCTCGAATTCAGACTTTAGTCACTTCACTTTTAAGACTTCTAGTTTTTATTTTGCTTTGATTTAGACTTTTGAGTTTTGAGTTCGGAGTTTGAACATGTCATGTGTTTGGAATTTGATCTTTATTGCTTGTTTAGTATCTATAGACTGTTATTATCTATCATGATATTATTGCTTTGCTCATTTAGTCATTTATCTATACTTAAATATTTTATTTTTTATGTCAAATTTCTAGTAGTTAATATAATGATGATGTTACTAATCAATGTTTTTTTATTATTGAGCATTTTTATATTAGAGACTTGAAAGTTAAAGAAATAGGATAAATAATGATCTTTTTTATAAACATGTACGTTTTTTATTCTTTAATCTTTATAATTATAGTACTTTGTTAATATTATGTAACTATTACACATGTATGTGTAGGCATCAAGTATGCATTTATAGAATTTTTATATGATTTTTCTTATTATTTAGAATATTTAAATTTAAATATATTTATATTTGATCGTTATTTAACTGTACACTATTTGCCGCTATTTTGCCGTAATAGCCCCAAATAGCGTTAGCGGTACCTCATCGCGACGCGCCGCTATCCTCTATCAACAACCATGCAATGAAATAACAAAGTCCCAGTAATTTCTAGCAAGTATCTGCTCTTATGCTCAGCCACCCGATTTTGTTGGGGAGTAAGTACAAGAAGACTGATCTAAAATCTCATATTCTTTCAAAAGTTTTGTGAAAGCTATCAACATATTGCTCAGCTTTTATCTGTTCTTTTTATCTGTTCTTAAGGTTTTAATGGTATTATAATATTGATTTTTAACCTCAGCATGGAGAACTTTTAAAATGTAAAACACTTCAGAATGGCTTTTTAGCAAACAAATCCAAGTCATGCGAGAAAAGTCCATAAAACTAACAAAATATTAAAAATTGAGTTTGGATGGAACAGAACAAGGACACCATACGTCTGAATGCACTAATTTAAATAGTTACTAACCATCTTATTGCACGGCTCGGATAAGACACTCATTGGTGTTTTTCGAGTTAATATGACTCACAATCTAAGGGCTCGACATGATTCAAATCTAAAACTAAAATTTCAAGAATCAAAGTGAGGGATGACCACACTGATAATGCACATCAAAGGCTAGTGTGGAGCTAATACAAGCCACCTAAGTAGAGGCAAAGTCCAGCTCATACAAGCTGTTCCGCTCACGTCTAGTGCCAATCGTCTTCCTCGGCCAGGTGCTTGAAAAATATAGTAGGTAAAAATATTACTGTGCAGTTTAATGCTTTAGTAATCCTACTGACATATAAAATATTCAATAAAAAACGAGAGATGTAACACGAATGAAAATGGAATAGTACTAATGTTGGTAGATTCAACACCTTGCATAAGTGTAGTGGATCCATCAACCAATACTACTGAAGAAATGAAGGTGGTTGGTGTGCCGGAGGATAACATACATCAGTTCCCAATCATATAATCAGTTGCCTCAGAATCGATAACCCAAGTACGACACGATGACGATGTAAAGCAAGCAGTAAGCTTACCTGACTAGACAAGTATAGTTGTAGCCGGGGAGGATTGTATTCTTACATTGTTAGAACAATTGGAGCTAAAATTGCTGAAGCTGGCGACAGATGTCATCTATGTGACTTCTGTGTAGCCATATGTGCACTCCAAGGTTGCTTTCCATGTAACTGAGGACAATAAAATTTCATGTGACCATGGTCCTTACAATAATGACAATGGATAGAGGAACCAGATGAACCCTCCCCTACAACTCATGAACTATCACCGCGTCCCCCACGTGCTTCAAAGCGCCCTCTAGGATGACCAAAGCGAGCTCCACGACCACCCCCTCGACTGGTCAACCATCACCTCGTGAACTATCTACAATAATGTCTGTTAAAAAGCATATAGCAGAGCTCCTAATATCTTGTAGTCATTCTGAATTATAAGACTAGAAGAGAACTAAAAAAAGCGAATACTATTATTTAATCCTACTAGTCTTGCATCTCCAGAACAAACTCCATAAGGAGGAGAATCTGCCTCAGCTCCTCTCTGAGGTGATTGAAGTTGTCATAGTGCTCTTCAAAACTCTGACTCTGCTTGCCCATCTTGCTCCTAAATAATTCATGAATGATATCATACGCTCGATTGGCATGCTTTCCATCTGATGTTGGATTGATTGGTGGTGCATTTTTTGATGTGCTAACCGACTTTCGATTGCCATAGTAAGACCTTCACTCTGTTGGTTTTTCTGAATACCCATTTGAATAAGCCGACTAACAATCCAATGGTCTAATAGTTCCCACCAGCCCATGCCCACGGCCCAAGAACAATTGCTATAAGAACTTCCACACGTTTCACTGTATTACAGTAAATTACAAGCTAAAGGACCTACGATTCCATGCTATTCTAAATTTGATGAAGTAGACCAATGTCATCCTATTTCCAGGAGATAGCAACTAGTAAAGGGGGTCATCTGTAAGATGATCCTTTCTCCGACCTAAAACATAAACAAGTTACTTTCAAAATAGTTAATTGCACCCATTCAATTTCTGATCAGTGATCTTGCTAGATAACACCTTCGTGTTGGTTTTTTCGTCTCAACTCTCGCCTACCAAAATAGCAGAATCACTAGAGGACGCCATTACCACAACATATAAATCTTTCAACCAGTAATCTCCCGACAAATAATTATCACCCTCACCTAATAACAAATCAATCTCCAATAATCAAATCATCAATAAGCAATCACCCTCACAATAAGCAATCAATCCATCAAGTAAAACCACCCTACATGGTTGATTTCTTCGAAAGAAAAAAACAACTTATCGCTTTTCTTAAAGTGATCTTTTAACGGCGGATCGTCAAGAATTAGCTTGATCGAATTGGTTAAGCTAAATTACTAGCTTAAGATCTATAAAGATCTAGTTGGTTAAGCCAAATGGTTAACTTAAGATCTATAAAGATATAGTTGGTTAAGCTAACTGATTAGCTTGATCGAATAAGGCTTTGTTCGAATGAACAACTTGCGTTGAACAATACCGTGGATGAACAATACCACGATAAACAGCGTCTTCCATTAGAACAATACCCACAAATGAGGGTTAAGGTTGGTGGCTAAGGGCTGAGGATTAGGGTTCGATGATGGTGGGTGGCGGCTAAGGTTTGAGAGGGGTAAAAGGTGGTGGCTAGGGTTTGAGAGGGTTGCGGCTAGGGTTTGAGAGAGGTAGAAGGTAGCGACTAAGGGCTAGAGAGGGTGGCGGTTAGGATTTAGAAAATTGGAGAGAGGATGACTCTAATACCATGTAATTGTGAAACCCTACCGAGATTATTAGCTCTCTTGAATGTTATTAATAGTGTTTTGAGAAACGAAGTTTGTCCCTAACCCATGTGGAACTAAACAATAAGGAATAAACAACTCTTTCAACAGCAAACAAACAATGTATTACGCTTGCATGCTGATGTGGATATATTTTCTCACTTAAAAAAAGAGTGACTTTCACACTTTCAACAAGTCACTTTCCATTTGCCAAACAGCCCTTTAGCTCCAGCTGGCTCTAGACTGTCCAAGAGGTCTATCCCACCTTTCTGTTGGCAGGATGGTTTACATTGCTTACAGGATCTAAGCAAGCTATAAATGGATATCACAAAAGATGATCAACTAGACATTTGGTGAAACTTCCTTTCTACACTGATAGACAGGAAAGAAAACAAAGCTATTTTTAGTCATACATCATCTTGCTGGCAACAGGGAGAATCAGTGCAGCAGAGAGAGATACCTGGTGTCAGAATTCAAGTTCTCAATGCATATAACAAACAACAAGGAAATCTTACACACAATAGAGAAATTGACCTGCAGCAATATCCGCTTTTATATTCAATATCCTTTCTGAGGCCTCAGGATTCGATGGAGCTATATTATGCGCTGCCATTGCATAATCTAAAGCTTCTTTATGTTTTCTTAGCTGCAAAAGTTCCAAGTGTGTATCAATAAAAGGCTGGGATGTCAAATATTCAATTAGAATTTGCTCAAAGGAACAAGTTAACCTACGGTCTACAAGTCAAAAATTTACAACATAAGAGAATGTACCTGTGAAAGAGCTTTCGACATGTAATAATGTGCCTTAAATGATGAAGGAGCGATCCTTCGAGCAATGTTGCAATCCCTTATCGCCATATGAGCATCATTCTTCCATTTTCTCTGAAATTGAGAGGCCATGTTTGTTTTCAAATAAAATCTAGCTTTTTACAATCAAAAGTGATGAGATAATGGGAACCTTAAGAAGCAATGCTGCTCGAATACATAAGCACTCATGCCTCAGTGCGTTGCCAATTTCAGGACCTTTCCCATCCAACACTTCATTACATGCTTCAATTCCATACAGAAAGTTGGAGCCTTCATTCAGAATTTTTTCCGCCGCTTGAACCAGTTTCTTATACATGTCAAACTACAGTTAACTAATAGCTGTTAGTATGACTGTTAACACACATGATTATGAAATTTTTTTGAATATATTTATTTAGTTAGAAACAATTTAGTTTACACACCCTTCTCAAATTGTTTTTGCTTGCAGTGAAGTAAGTTGAAGAAGCTGAAGGCGGTGAAGATCCTTCTGATTCTTTGGATGTAGGAGATAAATATATCTGCATTGGAACATCATCAGCAGTGTATCCGATACTCTGGTTACCTGATAAAATACAAGTGTAAACAGTAAGTAGGCGACATAAAGGGGCAAATGAACAGAGCAAGTAGCATTCCTAAATATTAACACATGTACAATTATTAAAGGAGCGTAAAATGATAACGAAGAAAGTTAAAATGCAGCACAGAAAATCTTTTTTTTTATAAACTTAATTCTGAGTTTATAACTGAAGACTATGAGAACTTACTAATATCTCTAGCATCTTTTTCCAGCCCGTTATGAGATAGGAAAACAGTTTAACCTCCTTTACCCCGGGCACTATGGTAACATAGACACTATACATCAGGTTACTCCTTGAGATGACAAAGTGAACAAGAATCTGCTCCAATGATCAACATGGCATAAAAAGAACCTGTTCCAAGTTCTGCTCTTTCATCAATTTCCATAATCTGAAAGCTAATTGGACAAAAATAGAGTACCAGGACATACTCCTAGGGTAAAATCTGCCTGTTGAGACTAGGCTAGATGAAAACCATGAAGTAAATGGCTGACTCTGTTTTTCCTGAACTACCAGCATAGGTAAAGTAAATGTCTGCCTCAGTTTTTTCTGTTTTGTATTCCTTTTTTTAACTCAATTCAGTTAATAATTGAAGATTTTGAGAACCTCCAATATCTTTAGCATTTTTCAGTAGACTACAATAACCCGCCTTATGAGATAGAAAAACAGTTTAACCTCCTTTACCCCGGGCAGTCAGGCACTATGGTAACACAGACACAATACATCAGGTTACTCCTTGAGATGACAAAATGAACAAGAATCTGTTCCAATAACCAACATCGCATAGAAAGAACCAATTCCAAGTTCTGCTCTTTCATGACCTTCCAAAATCTGAAAGCTAATTGGACAAAAATAGAGTGTCAGGACATATTCCTAGTGAACTACCAGCATATAACTCAAGGACAAGGAAATTTGGGAGATATAAGTTATCATGTCAGATGAAATAATGCGCAAACATGCAACCCAGAGCTACAGGCTAGAGGTGGATAGTGGTCTCTGAAACTAATGGAAGGATGATAGATTTCCGTGGAATCTAAACAAATGTTTCATACTATGATAAGAGATTCCCAACATCGTTCAAACTATACAAATCTAGAGAGTATATCTCTGAGAAATTAGCTTTTTCTTTCTATTGTTGGTGTCTTCTACACCATGAAGAAGCCATGAAGATGAAGGAATTGCAATATTGAATGGACTTCTTCAATGTCACAGTTTAATACAATATTAGACTCAAAAAATTAAGTAGTTAAGAAGCCTTTTTTTATAATAATGGATCTACATATGTGCAAGATACGCGTTTTCCAATATAGTTTGAAAAAAGATTGAGCTACCAAAGTCGAGATCTTCACCAAGCCCTTACATTATATGTTCATACTAAAGTTACCAGCTCTAAGGTAGAGGGGACACTTATCTGGGGAAACAATAGTTGACATCAACGTTGCACCACATGAAAAAAAAGGGAAATATATCTGTTGATAAAAGAGGGAAAATTTGAAACCATCTTATTGTATTGTAAAATAATAATAATAAATAAATAAATAAATCCTTAAAAAGAGTTACTTGAGCTGCTTTAGCAAACCTAACAGGTACAGAAAATCTTATATGAAAAGACTGTTGACTAAAGAATGTGTGTTAAGAGGTCAAAAAAAATGTGTTGGGAAAAAACAAAAACACATGCTTAGGCTTGCCTAAGGATGCAGGTCCAATTGTGATCACTCGTATATATTTGTACCGTTCACATCTTTGATCCAAATGCAATGGAGTTTCAATTATATTTAGTAAAAACTAAAGTGTATAAACTACATTATGAATTTAAAAGAACAGAAGAAAAGATCTTCATTTATTTTCATCTGATATTGAAGAACCTTAAAGTATTCATCATATCCTGAGAAGCATACCAAAATTTACATCCATTAAATACACATGCTCTCCACTGTAACTTAATAGCACTTCCTCTCCATTGGGGCTAAACGTAACATGTGTTAGATGCAAGCTTGACCGTCGCTGTAAACAATAGACAAATAAATAATTAGGCCTGAAGAATTGTAACATATGAATAAGCTTAGGTTGATATGGTAACAGACATTATCCTGAAAAACATTGCAGATGCAGATCCACTTCTGAAAACCCATTATAGTTGATGACACATATCTTATCAATTAAAAATACACTGGTGAAATCAAAACAATAAATAATCATGCCATGTCTTCCAAAAATATTTTTAAGTATGATATGACACTAGACGGTGTATCTGACATACTCATGCCACCAAATAACATCTTGATTATAGAACTAAACATCAGAAGTAGAATTGATTCCTCAATATGCTAGATAGAATAGAATACACTTTCTCTGAAAGAATAAAAGAAGCTTTTTTCCCCTTTTTGATGGAAAAAGAAGTTAAAAATCTATTGGTACAAATAAAGTGTACAACTGTAATTTTGGTTAACCAGGATTTTCTTGATCTATCAACAGAGCCATCTCGATTCAGAGATGTAACTGATAGCTTAACCAAATTCTGATGACAAACGGTTAAGATAATTGATATATTACATAATATTCCAGCTGTTCCTAAATAAAGATAACATCAGCAGCAAGGTTTTAAATGTCGGATGTCGGGTTCATGTCGGATGGCTGAAATCCATGTCGGATAGCGAAAATCGAGGATATATCGGGGGACATTGACTAAATACCGGATTGTCATATCGAGTAGTGCGCATATGTATAATATCATGTCCTGAATGTAATCTAAGCATTTATAAATTCAATATAAGCATATTTTATAAATTCTATAGACTAAACATATAAAAAGGTAAATAATATATGCATTTGGGTTTATAAATTCTTTCTATCGGGTTCATAAGAAACCCTTAAACATGAGAACGGGTCAAACGTGTTTGGGTATTTATCACTAAACCTCAAACCGGATAACAAAAAACAGAACTTAAAAAAAAGTACTATATCGGCCGATTTTTCAAAGCTAAAAAATAAGCCGATATGCCCGATATGACCCTGATATTTCCGATTTTGCCCTGAAAACCGACATACGAGTTTAAAAACGTCCATGTCGTGTCGGTCAAGCCCTCAAACCGATATGTGGGCCGACATGTCGGACATGTCGGCCGACATTTAAAACCTTGATCAGCAGCAAAATTCATAATTTGATGGCACCATATTAGCTGCACACATCCACTAACCACAAAGATTCACACTGGTTAGATATAATTTATGGTGTATATATGATGCTTCAGACGACAATTTTTTTGGACCAGCTACATGAATCTTGTTCTTTCATTGATTCCAATTATGGGCCATCTTTATCAAACAACTATTATCATATTTTTTATTGCTTCAACCAAGTTCTTTTAGGCATGCCTCCAAACTTCTTTGCCCCCATTAAAACAATGTTTGTTGCTCATCAATAGTCTTATCACTTCTCCAAATTGGTGCATTTAATGGCCTCTACTGAACATCACCAAACCATCTTAGTTGGTTCTCTCATTTACCCTCAGTAGGACGAACCTTTAATCTTATCCCATATTTTAATGTATATTAATATGAGCATGAGCATTGTAACATTCTCATTGCTACTACATTAATTTTCTGCAATACTGTTTTATTTTCCTAGCAGTCTGATCCATAAATCATTGTTGGTCTTATAAACATAATACAGAATTTCCCTCAATCTCGTAGGTATCTACAGTCACATAAAACTTCCGAAGTACTGTTCCATTTTAACCACTATGATTAAATCATTGATTTAATGAGACTAATAATAGATCCTAAATGACAAAAACGATTACTCTTTGTTTACTGAAAGTCAATATGCACTATACCCTCATTCCTTTTCATAGTTTTACTAAAATTACATTCCAGGTATTTTTTTTTTCCATGCATGTTGCTTTGTACATCTATTTTAATAATCTGAAGAATGCATCAAGGAAATTCCTCTTTGCTGGCAGCAAACTAGCTTTCCTAATATTCCTTATTAAAGCATGTTCTGCACCTTAGTATCTTAGGATACTAATGCGCTTGGCAAAAAATAGATCCCAAGATTGATTATCAAACCAATAAATTACACTTCCAATGTAGGAAATTCTATATGCAAGTACAACATAACCAATAAGATATTATTCAAATTCATAACCACTAAGATATTATTCAAATTCTTCTATTTTAAAGTAAATTTCAGTTTAAGAGCAATATGATTGGGAAGTAGTTTCCAACAGGTACATGGAAAAATATGCCCTTAGTCTATCTTTTTTGAAACCAAAATAAAGTTCGAGATTAAACCTTAAGATGGATCATGACAACATAAATATTGTAGTGACAACCTAAGTGAACTACAAATAGAAAAGGTAACATCATCGTTGTTTTAAATATCCTGACATGGCCCAAGATATCAGCCGATATATCCTTTTATAAGCCTCTCCGCAAAACGACATGGTCTCAATATCCTAAACCTTTTTTGGTAATTTTGGGCGATACATCACCAGTATGCCGATATATCAGCCGATATTATGGCTGATATGTCCTTTTAGATGGCTTGTTGCAAAACAATATATTGATTTTGATAATTTTTTGATAATGTATCACAATTTTCCCAATATATCAAGTGATATTTCGGCTTCAAAAAATCGGTTAAAAGATAGGTTAGTGATCCTAAATATATATTATTTACATTTTGTATGCTTAGATTTTGTCAAGTATATTTAGATTACAGTTTCGGATGTTATGTTATACATGCACGTCATCCAATATGATGCTATGTATTTACAAGATATCCTTGAAATTTCCCTGATATCCACAATCCGATATGGATTTTGGTCATCTGATATGTATAGCATTGAACATCATGATAACAAAGAAAAACAAGGTATCATAGCAACTTGATAGTGGAGTTACTATCTCACATCTAAACCAAGATAAGCATGATAGTAAATACCAAGTAGTTCTGATATTAAGGAAATCTCCTCAACTTACACGCTCAGAAAGGTGCATTGGACAGAAATAACTAATACAAGGAGAAGGTTTCATTTTTGTCCGACAAGAGCTCAAGGGCGGAAGCATTCTTCTATCGTATAACCGAGCAAATGCATCACTGTATAAAGATTAAGGAAAAATGTTACACAGATTAATTAGCAACGCGAATAAAATGTTCACAATATCTTCTAGAAGTTGAATAAACCTAAAGTAGTTACCTCCCTCCTACAAGAATTTGATGGGGGCGAGTAGAGCTTATGTCCAAGGATTTCAGAGCCAAATATTGTATTGGAGGAGAACTAAGAGACCTTTTCGCCCCACTTCGGAGATCAAGCTGTCACAAAATGCAGATTTTAGAAGCAGCAACAGAGCATACAATGTATGGAGATATAGGAAGAAAAAATACAAGAAAAATGCATAGGCCCTGTAGTAATAAAAAGAAAATAAATATACAGCAACATGAAAAAATATCTCCGGTCCACAATGTAGAATAACAGACATAATCCTTCAATCCAAAATGATATGCCAATCCACATTTTATTCTACCAATCGCAGCCATGTATTGGAACCAACATATATGGAGGCTACAAAATACGCTAGACCATCCTTATTTTCCGCAATTAGCAACATTAATAAATATTCTCTCAAGTTCAATGTACAATTTAGTAACAAAACAAGATAAACCCATGATATACACAACAATATAGATGCTGATGAGCATTTGCTTTTACGAACCACACTTAGGACATATGAATGTTTCTGTGTCTGTGAGCAATCGGCATCTTAAAAAATAATAAATGGTAAAAATCCCCACATGTACCTCCTAAATTGGTCTGGTCCGGTTGATAGCTTATGCAGTCTTTAGTAGAAGAAGCTTAGCTAAAGAGGCTTTTTTAGCTACTTCCAGTAAGTGCTAGCACTTACATGAACACAATGCCCTTTAACCTTGCCCCGTGTTACTATCAATGCAATTCTACACGTAGATTGTCTAATAGTCCTTTATTGAAGATTGTAGCAGCTGCTCTAGAGTTCCATCTAATATTCTCTCTCAACTTTCACACACCACACCTATGAAAAACTTATCCACAAATGTATCATTGACAAGACATCCTAGACATTCTGAGGCTAATCCATGCATTGGCCGTTTAATCATGCCTCCGCCACTGTAGAATAAGTGCATTATGGAATCCAAGAAGGAGCTTCGGATAGCCACACATATGTACTATGTAGTGCTTAGAGGAAATGATAAAGGAATTAAGTGATCCATCTTCTTGAAGTCGCGCTGTTAGATTAGAAACCATGTCTTTCTCGTGTATGTTCCATGTTCACAGTTGTTTAAAGATACGTTTAAATTTGTAATTTAGAGAGAATCAAACCTAATTTAGGCTCATTCTCATTGCCTCTTTTTGCCTCCTATATAAGAAAATATTTTAAACTCAAATCCATCTTACCATAATGATGCATTGGCGGTAATTTAGGAGCATCACAAAATAGAATCCCACCCAACCAAAATATTTGATATCGACCTAAGCATTCAATAAAATTTATAAACTAACTTATGTTGCTCCCAGACAATATGAACCAAATAACCAACTCATTATTAGATGTTCATTTAGTGCGAATCATGGTCAAAACTCAAAAGGAAACTACTTGATGTTTCAAATTACCAACGCTCGCTTGGGTTATAACCCCTCTATTGTATGCAGAAGCATCATAAAAATGAAGTATTGAAAAATAATACAAGATGACGAGTCAGGAATGGAAGTTGTGTAAAGATTTGGCAAGATAAATGGCTTCCTAAACATTGGCCTTATAAAGTAACGTATCAAGTGTCGATCCTCTAAAAAAATGCTAAGGTGGAAGAAGATCTGTTGGGACAGGGAGGGGTTTGGAATAAGTCTCTTATTTTGCATACTCTGAGGATGCACGGGCAATTTTAACTTTTAAGCATAGCAAGAAGCTCAATGGAGCAATGGAGCACAAGGATAGATTGATCTAGAAAACTACGACAGCAGTAATTGTTCTTAGTACGATCAGCCTACCATTAATGCTAACGCAATTTCCATGGATCCAAGAGACAACACTTGGGCGACAATTTGGAAAATAAAAGCCCAAATAAAATAAAAGTTTTCTTTTGAGGGTGCTGCATTATATTATTTGTACAAAATCATTGTTATGTAAGAGGCATTTGGTAGATAATGGAAATTGGTAGATAATGAAGTTGTCATGGCTATAACAGCGAGGATACTATGCATATGCTTAAGTAGTGTATTTTTGTAGCCAAAGTATGGGAGAAAATACATCTTAATTGCTTATCACACATCCTATAGGTTTGGTGTTTCTGAGAGTGATGGGGAAAGATCCATGACCTAACGGCAGCTAATGAGCTAGAATTGGTTGATGTTATTATATGAACAAGGGTACAGAAAGTGCTAGGCAGCGTAGGCATCGGACCTAGAGCCTGAAGCCTATGCTTCTATCCAGGAGCTTAGGCAGAGCCTAAGTATTTTCCTATTTTTTATATTTTAATTGCAATCAATGTTATCAAAAGCACTAGGCACTGTTAGATGTCAAACTGGCGCCTAGCGCCTACACACTAGGCCTAGAAGGATATCATTTTTTTGTTTAAGTAGCGACGGAGGAGGTTTTGCTAAAGGTCGGAGGACTTGAATGGGGGTGTTTACAGTCGACGGAGGTGGCCAGAGGAGTTCAAAAGAGGTTAGAGAATGTGGAAGCAACAACAGAAAAAAATCACAACCAAGACCTAAGCAGTCCGCGTAAGTGATCTTCGCTCCCCTAGGCATCCTTAAGACCTAGCCAGGCGGCCTAAGCACTGCCTAGGCCTAGGTAGGAGCCTATGCGGGCTAGACATGAGCTTTTTAAAGCATTGGATATGGGCTTTATGGTCAGAACAAAATAGTAAAAAAATCAAATTGAAATGGTGACAATAGCAAAAAAATCAAAGCATATTGCCCAATTTATCTAAGTCCTATTTAACTGAGTTCATAGAAGCCCAAAAATCAAGACAGCAACTCATAATTGGGAGACACTACTGGCAGAGACCTCTCTATCCAAAAATAAAATTGAATTGCGAATCGGGTCTTAAGGTTAACAGTGCGGAGCCAAGTTATGGATGCATCATTTGAAACCATGACAAAGAATATATTGTAGCAGGCGAGACATGGCAGTTATTGTGATTCAGTCCACACCGCAGAAACAATCTCAATTCTTAAAAGTATTCACTTTGCAATGGACACTGAATTACAATATTTGAGATGGAAACGTACCCAAGTGTAGTGTTTAAGGCAATAAATTCCTTCTCTTCATTTATGACACTATTGTGGAGGACATCCAATATCCCTTGCAAAATAACCCACTTTTCAATAGGAAGGCAAATGAGATAGCACACTTGCTTGCTAAGGAGGGTGCTAAAATCACAAGGATATCTCATTGATTTGGGGATCCTCCATCATTTCTTGCCTCTATACTTTCAATGGATGTAAACTCTTCTTCATTAAGTTATGGAAGTTGGTTATTTTGCTACCAAACAAAATTTATCATTTAAAATAATATGGAACTGCGGATGAAACTTTAATCTAGAGGATATGACCTAACCTCGAATTTTACAGGAAGCCCGTCTTCAAATCCTTAAAAGAATATCCAAGTGTGTGCATGTGTATATATGTATGTGCATATACATATACACAAATAAATATACATGGTAACTGGTGTCCCACTCCAGTCATTGGCTAGTTTATCGGTGACGCAGCAGTGCATCACACATCAATACTAATCCACAACATGAAAAATCTAGATAAAATTAACAAGTTGGATATCTATAACTTCAGCAATAGACCAGTTTAAGGAGCTGGAGGAACACAACACCTAGTGTGTTGCTAAAGTACTATTCCTCGCTCTTCTGACCTTTGCTTTCTTCAACAAGATAGATATCAAAGTCAAATTTGAGACAATGATAAATTTATAACCTATCAATAAAAAATAATCCCACAGTTTCAGTGTTTCAAATGATACAAGATTCAACAATAACCTAATGCCACACAACTTACTTAGCCGCTAGAGGACTAACGAGAACACCCCGGATGATAAACTTGTACCTGAAGATACGCATTTCTAATTGGACAGTTTCAAAGACAATTTTGCCAAGGACACCTAAAATTCTTCATGCAACTGGTACATGAAGATACACATTCCTAATTTACTCTCACAACATAAGCTTGTGATTCGCATACATAGCACATAGGAACGAAATTTTACCATATGCATTTATAAGCACCCAATGTTCAAAAACACAGCGTGTTCAAAAACACACTCTACCCAGCTGAGTACTCATCCGAGTACTCCTACCCAACAATCACAGTTGTTAAGTAGCTGATACCCGCTCGATTATGCAGTTAGACCGCATAATTAAGCGGTAAAAAAGTATTCTTCTGCATAATGAAATTATGCGGGCTCATAATATACCTGCCCCACCTGCGCTTAATTACCCTAAATTCTCCCCATCACTGCCTCAAAGGATCCTAAAAATACTGCTTCAAAACCCTAGACCTAGTTACCCCCATGCAGCCTTTATCTCCACCATCACTAGGGGCAAATGACAAAACACGAGCAACAGAAAACTTAGGAGGCATACTGCAAGGGCAAGGACATAACATGAAGAATCTTCTAGTGCATTGACTGATGAGGGGATTGAGGAAGGGCCTATTAGAGATGATTTACATGAGGGTAATGATTATCAATTTGAAGCTCCTTCTAAGGAAGAATTGAAGAAATGGAACTGAACATTCACTATGAAGACAATGAGGAACACTAGATGAGAAGTTTATCAATATGTTAAAGTGCTATGACTTATAGGAGTGTTTTACATTATTAACTCTTAGTAGTTTTATTTTTAAGTGTATAACAACTTTAATTTAAATAGCTTGGGGTGTTATTGTTAGTCTGTTGCTTGGAATGTTGCATATCTTTCATGAATTATTATATTTTTATATATGATAAATAATGTGTGTGTGTGTGTGTATATATATATATATATATATATATATATATAGAGAGAGAGAGAGAGTTGATCTTATGTCAACTTAAGTGGATGTCCACCAAACTTTTTAGCCACTCATTTATATATATAAAAAAACCTCTTCATATCTTTTATGGATCCCTAGGCAACATCAATGGCAAAAAAGTTTGGTGGATAACTTTTTGCTATCCACTTAAGTTGACACAAGTTTTTCTCTCTCTCTCTCTCTCTCTATCTCTATCTCTCTTATATATATATATATAGGTATATATATATATATATATATATATAAGCATAACTCCCGATTGGACTGCATAATGAAACAGTGTTTTAGAATGTTGTACGCAACAACATGAATAAACAACTGAGCTGCCCTATACATGTAGTAGTGTTATTATATATTTTGCTATAAATTATGTAAATTGCATGCTATCAACTTCCCGTGTTCCTTTAAGAGTATGGAAATCATTGATTTTCTCTCATCAAAATGTCCTCAACTGTTATCTACAGCCTCCTATTTTATCCGCATTTGTCAAACTTCAGATAGATAAGTGGTATCCATGTCCTGAGGCGAGTGGAACTATTATCTATCTATGGGCATGATTAATGTAGTCTAGTAATCACACTCTCAGCCCTCTCACGCACTGAAAATGAAATCACCACATCCTTGAAGCTACTAAATTTATTTCCTTCGCATCTCTTCATAATAATACCAGGTGAAATCACAAGTTTCATCTGATAATCAAAGGATAGCAGGGTTTCTTCCTCTCTAGGGAAATCATTGCTCTGTCTTTATCATGCTAGCATTTGCTAATCTAATCACTTAAGTTATTACTTGGAGATAAATATTGTTCTACGGTACAGATCCATATCGTCCTTATGATAGATAAATATATTTATTATACTACAAATTATGTTGGGTACACTTATCAAAAAAATTATGTTGGATACATCTACTGTGAACATCTATGTCACGCAGAATATGGAATTTACAGCAACTTACAAGAACATTGCGACACTCCTGATTGGAAGATCCTGCTGGTGGAGGGCAAGAAGAACCCTCACGGAAGTCATGTTGTCTGACAGTTCCATCCTCACTTGCACTCCATACTACGTTGGGATTTCCAACTTCAACCTTGACAGGAAGAAACAAAATCAGATATTCAGTCAACAAAAACTGGCTAAGAACTAGCAAGAATTGCATGTTAAGACTCTCATCTTTTATGTCAGAAATAACTTTCACTATCAAAAGATGACATTTTCCTCGTACGAGTTACTAAAGATTAGAATGACTTAGCAGTATTTCAACATGACTTATGGCATCATTTAATAATTTGGTCTTACAGCTAACTTCTTGACTCTTCTTGAGTGACATTGGAATACAGCTGATGGTTCGACAAAGGTCTCATCACATCCTCTCCTTCTTGATCGAGATAGATTGAAAAGTCGAACCTGAAAATGGAATAGAAAGAGAAACAAAAGAATCAATTAACACCATATCCTAGAAAGAGAACAATATTTTATGGCTCTCAGGGATAAAACAGTTCTTTTTCTAGTGAGAATGCCACCTCAGCATCTCCAGCTCCTGAGACCACCAGTTCATCACAAGTCTCTGGGACAAATTTCGTGCAAAATATATTAGAAGAATGACCAGTATCTATACTGTGAATTAGTTTCCGATCAGAGTAACTCCATATATTTATCTGTAAAATAAAATACAAAAGACATCAAGCAGCAAATTAATAGAGTACATCAAGACCCATTCTCCACGTAGTATATTATAAAGACACATGCAATACTTGGTTATAAAAGTGAAAGCAAGCTATGTTTTGTTGAGACAGAAATGTGAACACAGGTGAGACATGAAACAGAAAGAGATAATACTCTATCACACACAAACAAAAATCAAAGACAAGGCCGGAAGTGCCGTTCCATATGCTGACCGACACAAGACAGCTTCACAATAGTAGTATCCAAGCTTCCTATACAGCAAGAA